ATATACTTAATTAGAGTATAGAATGCAATACCTTTTTTAGAGGTTCTAATAATTGTCTCGGACAACAGTAAAGGACTTCCATTGGAAACTTCATGTATAGACTTTTCTGGTATTTTGCTGGCAAGAGTTTCTTTCTTCACATCTTTTTTTATTTCCTGTATAAGAAATAAAAACAAAGTAGGAAGAAAACTATTTAGAAGTCTCTTTCATGAATATGTGAATACAAACAGTATACAAACTACTATAGCTTTAGGAGGGGATGATTAGATGAAGAAGAAAAAACTTTTGAAACCAAGGGTAAGCTAGGAACTACTCAAAGGTCATGGCTGAAAAATCTCTCTTCCAGAATCAGCTGGATTCACAATTATAACATTCATGTGGCACTTAATGTGACACTGCATCTTTTTAACATGCTGTAATGTCACCCTGACAACAGATGTAAAACTACAGTCCTACAATAAGAATACTGTAAAATTTCCTGAGGAATGCAATGTATGCAATGGGTCTTTCACTTCGGCAAGTATATCAGGATCTCTGACTTTATTTATTAATTAGTCAAGTAAGCGAATGGTTCTCAAATGGTAGGGACAGACCCCCAAGGAAGGCAAGAGTTGCTCAAGGGGGATGCAAGACTTGGAGACTCTGATCCTGCTCTTCCCAAACTTTTAAATGTGTAAAGTTCACCCATGCATGGAGTTAAATACTGAATTTACTTAAACAAAACTGTTCTAATCTGAACAATGTTATTTCCTTATAACATGTTAAAATATGAATAAACATGAATACGCAATTGAAAATATGCACACTAAATAAACAAAATATTTTTATTCATATACTACGTTGAGTGGGGGTAACATCTGCAAGCAGATGTAAAAGGAGGGGGTCCCAAGGGTAAAATGTTTGAGTACCTGTGGTAAACTATGTGAGAATTAAAATGAAGAGGGGAAATCTGCTTTTTCCTCACTGGGAGTATGAGGGTACAGTAACAGCTGTACCATGTAGATACTTCACCTTGTGGGTATTACAGTGTGAGTGGCTGTCAAGCAGCTGGAGAAGAGAAGTTGCTCCCATTAGGAAAGAGATTCTTGCTGGTCTCCCAAGCCTTAGCCTGAAAGCCCATCTTGAGTTGTTCAAAGGTGGCCCACACTTAAGCAACCTTGTCTTTTCAAAGCCGGGAAGAGGGAGAGGAAAGGAACTGAAAGGTCTCCCCACCTAATGTGCTAGATTTGTTTGCATCTGCACTGTGGTTTTGCCCTTCCTCAGCACTGCTAGCAACTCATTGCAGGTGAAGGAAGAAGACACTTGCCAATGATGAGAGAGCCAACATGATGTAGTGGTTTGAGTGCTAGACTACAACTCTGAAGACCAGGATTCGAATCCACACTCTGTCATGGAAATCCACCGGGTGACCTTGAGCAAGTCACATTCTCCTAGCCTCAGAGGAAGGCAAAAGCAAACCCCCTCTGAACAAATCTTGCAGTTTGGCATGTGTGGATCTGACAAGTCAATAGTTATAGCTCAAGAATTTATTTCATTTCATTTACATTCTAAGTACTTTCTATATGAAAACTGCTTGCACCCTTTTTTAATGGTTCTGCACAACCAGCAGTTTTTACATTTATGAATTACATTTGCATTACATTACATATAGTCGAAGCTATATCAGAGATCACCTCCTCCCATACAATTCTCCCCGCGCACTCCGGTCCTCTGGGAGAAACTTGCTGGAGCCCCAAAAAATCGAGGCTCTCGGCTACCTCCCAGAGGGCTTTTTCTGTTGTCGCCCCCAGGCTCTGGAACGGCCTGCCGAATGAGATCCGTCAACTAATATCTTTGGACAGCTTTAAAAAGGCTGTCAAGATGGATCTCTTCCAGCCTTTCCAGACTAAATATCCTGGCCTCAGGCTTCCCTCCCCCCCCCCAGTAGTACTTCTAGAACCCCTGTCCTCTTGAAAGAAAGTTATAGGGCTCATTATGACTACTGTATAAATTTTAATTTCTTGTTTTAAATTGACAATTGGTTTTAATTATAATGTAGTTTAATAATGTCTTAAGGGGGAGGGAAAATGTCTGTTTTACGCTGTATGTTATTTTATGCTGTAAACCGCCTGGTTATCAATGGGCGATATATAAATAAAATGTATTATTATTATTATTATTATTATTATTATTATTATTATTATTATTATTACTATTACATTTTTAAAGCAAAAAAAAAGGAAATAAAAAAGAGAGAGTGCTAAAATTTATATTTTGTAAGAATAATGCAGAAAAACAAATGGGACTCCACTAAACTGCCCCATTTGTTTCCCTTTACTAAGAAATATACAGTCCCCCCTCCGTTCTTGTGGACTTCATGTCCGCAGTTTTATATATTCATGGAGGGGAGACCTCCGTTTAAAACAATGGGGCACACTCCTGAGGGCGTGTACCCCATTGAGGCCTATAGAGGTTGAATATTCACGAATCTCCATTTTCGTGGGGGTGTGTATCTGGAACGGATCCCCCACGAACACAGAGGGCCAACTGTAGTTTCAATTTTTGTTTGTTGAAATATTGTGGTTCATGCTTATATGTATCTAAGTCACTTGTCAAACATTCCAAATGGTTTTCGAACACAATACACAAAAGCTGGAAGTGTTAATAAGGGCTTCATTCACAATGGAATTCTCTTATACTATTCTTCTTAGAAATGTGAAGCCAATAATTCTATTTGAAGGGCAATTTTACTGCCAGTGCCAAATTGATCTTAGTACAGTTTAAGATTTATTCTTTGAGTTTCTTCTGGTAGAATAGTTCTAAATGTTGAATGCACAGAAGTAACATGGTGTGCATCTACACTGTAGAAATAATGCAGTTTGACACTACATTAACTGACATGGCTTTATCCTACAGAATCCTGGGATTTGTAGTTTTGTGAAGAACAGTACTATTGGCAGAGAAGTCTAAAGACCTTGTAAAACTACAAATCCCAGGATTCCATAGGATGGAACCATGGCAGTTAAAGTGATATCAAATTGCATGATTTCTACATTGTAGAAGCACCCTAGATTTCATCTTCCGGACATCCCAGCCAGTATGGTCAACAGTCAACAGTTGACCTAGAAATTTTAGCCCAACATGGCAACCCAAGACTGAGAACCAGTCTTTTGGTAGGTATACTATCCTACACATGAGTAACACTACCAAAAATAATATTAATCATAAGTGAGGCGTGATGAAGCTTTCAGATACATCATTCTGTGAAACAACAGCAAGCAGAAGTCCTCGTGTCAATATTAAACCTCTTCAACTTGTAAAACTTGCAAAGAAAACAAACAACAAACAAGTTCCTTTACTTGATGTAACATGAGGATTCAGAGTTTGTGTACATGTTTCCTACCAATGGTCCACTTTTTATATTTATCTATCCAACAGAAGCTCTTCTGAAATAGCAATAGCTGTTGCAAACACAACTTCCTTAATTCATCTATCATGCTCTTGAGGCCACTTCCTCCTCCCTTGACGTATCATACCCTCTACTTGACTTACCATTCCCTCTATTTGCAAGTTTGTCTTACTCTTGGGAATTTTTCCAGAATGAAAAGTAGATATAAGAATGTATTTTAAAAATAATTTCTCCATACATCATCTCTACTTGTACTATATATTAAAAATACTATGAATGAGGGTTGAGGACTGTGTGACCCTCCAGATGTTGTTGGAACAACCAACAGTGAGGAATTGAGAACCATAGTAAAACAGCATCTGGAGGACCACATGATTCCTGTCCGCACTATAAATGAAAGTTGAACATTAAAAATCAGAAACTACATCATTACAGTGGTACCTCTACTTACGAATGCTTCATCTTACGAAAAAT